CTTGTGCCTTTGTATTCATTTTAGTTTTTTTCTTAAATGATTTTGTTTTTAATAAATGTTCACATAAAGAAAAAAATATAGGGGGGGGAGAGAAAAAAATTTTTCAAACAGCCCCGGGGAGAACCTTGAGTTTTCTCTGAGGTACTTTTTATTGTCTTCTCTGAGGAAGGGTCCCCTTTCCACTATAAGTGGTATTTCCCTATTTTTTAAAATTTAATATATAATATATATAATATATATAAATATAATAATAAAAATAATATAAATATTTATATATATATATATATATATAATATATATGTAGTATATATATTATATAAAATTAATATTATATATATTATAAAAATTTATATATATTATTAATATATATATTATATATAAAAATATATATAATAGATAGATAGATATATATACATGTGAACTTTGGGAAAAAAAAAATCTACAGGTGGGAAGAAAAAAAAGGGTGGGATGTGCAAAAAAACAAGTGAACCAAGGGGCAATGAGCGTCGAGGGGGCATCACTGCACACCTTCCTGCTTCGGGCAATACTGCAACACAGGAGAAAATTTCGCTGCTGACTGTATATAAAGGGCGGTCTCCTTTGGAGTGGGGAAGTATCATCGTATATCACTGCAGGGTTTACTAACCCGGGGGGACAACCCGGTGCCCCCTTTAGTGAGGCTCACATACTCGGGAACTGGGCAGACTTTTCTGGCAATGACCGGAGGACATTTTTCGACCGGACTGTAGTGGGACTGTCACTGCCGGCGAGTGTGGATTGGGCAGGGACGACCCCGGGGCGCGGGGGTTGTAACGCAAAAAACCATTCACAGTGAGCTGGGGTAGCAGTCAAAAAGGGCTCATCTTTTGTGCAGGTTGCCACTGAAGCTGTGACATAAGTTAGACAATTGCTCCAACGGGCTACTCCGGGTGGATGAGTGTCTTCTCTCGACATTGGGGTTAAGCAAGGGTTTGTTAAGATCCTCAGACTGGTTCTCTACTATAACAGCTCCTATGGCAGGAGATGAAGTGGAAGAGTCCAATGGGGGAAAATAGCAGGTCGACCAGAGGGTGTCTACGAGCGCCCAAAAAAAGAGCTTTGTACAAGGGGCTCAGATGCTCGACTGATCTGGGGCTGACTAAAATTTACTGCAAAAATCAAAGGTCTGTTGGACACACGAAAAAACACCTACCATACACATCGGGTTTAAAGGCTTCACTAGCAAAAAACTTTTTTTTGCAAAAAAACGACACTAAGCCCCTTCAGAACATGTGAGAAAACTGACGGAGGAAATTAACATGTACAAGCTTCTCTCAATTTTCCCCCAAAAAAACTGCAACAAAAGCTCACTAATAACTGAAAACTCAAATTTACATCAGTGGTGTGTCAGGATGTGTCATGGGGTGACATTGCAGGTGATGGAAAGGGGCAACATGGAGAAAACGTTGTGGGGGTGACATCGGCAGCACCCCTGGAGGACTTAAAGGGGACGCCCGGGGGGGATTGGCAGACGTCGTGGGAAATTATCACAAGGTGAAATCCTAGAGGGATGTTTTGGGCAATGTGGTTGGTAAACACGCGGGGAACGTGAGGAAACACCCCGGGGGGGGTGACGTCGTGAGGTAAACGTCACACCCAACCCGTGGGTGACGTCGTGAGGGGGACATCAGGCAGCATCATGGGTAAAGTGAATGACGTGGGCAGCATCGTGACACCCGGGGAGTGTTTACGGAAGCTTTGTGATTTCCCTGGGTGATGCCGGGCCAGCAGGGGCTTGGGTTGAGATCCACATGGTTTCGTGATCCATGGGGCTTCGAGTGCCACCGTGGGCACAGAAAACCCAACCACTAACTAAACCTTTGACTTGCAAAAATAGTCGCCCTTTGACCCTAAACAAAAACCCAGCAGAGCCATACAGGTGATGCTGAATTTGGGAAAAGGGCCCTTAAAAACAGCTTTTGGATGCTGTAGGATAATTTTCGGGGGACACCCATTTTTTTATCAAAAAATTTTTGGGAAATTTGGGCCGGCCCTGCTGGTACCAGTGTTGGTTGCTGAGACCTCAGAAAACGACTTCGGATAATGCGTAGAAGACGGTATTTCTTTTTTAAGGGGTGAAAAAGGGGAACAATGTTTTTTTCCTCCCCATTCTTCCTCTCTTCGGGAAAAAACTGTGTAAAACACTAATTCCACCTTTTATCATGCAATATTATGTGTTTTATTTGTAGGGGGAAAAAATTGATAAGGTTCGGAGGCTTTTTTTTTTTGTTTCCCATTCAGGGTACAAAGACATATTTTTTAAGTCCCCAAGGGCCCACGGGGTCATCCCCGAGGAGAGAGTGATAAGGGCCCCCTTTTATTAAATCTAAGAGCCTGGACGTAAAAGTGAAAAGAAAGGGTAGGGTGATGGGGGTTTTTGAAGGGACTGCCCACCAGGGGTTGCCCCCTGGTGGCAACCCATAAAAACTAAAGGGCCCTGTAGGCTTCCCGTCTAAATTCCCTAATACGAGTGAAACAACAAAAATGACCCCTTTTTTTAGCGTAAAATTTAGGAAAAAACCCGCACCCCCTTTTCTTACTTTTAGGACTTTTTTAAAACTGTGTCAAAATTTTGTTTAAAAAGAAATTGAATACCCGTATTGGGAAAATAATAAAGATAAACCATAAATTTTATTGAAAACTGTGGTAGTTAAGCAAAGGGAAAAAATGCTGAAGTCAGCATTTTTGGGGGCCGGGCCCCCAAAAAAAGTGCCTGCGAGGCCCCCGATTGCTCTTAAAAAATGGGCTGGAAATGTGCTCACGTGGGGATAGCCCCTGAACAAAGAAAATTTTGCATGCCTTCTCGGCCCTTTTTTTTATTTACAGTTTAAAAATTTGGGTAGAACTAATTTCAGGGAAGTATAAATGGTCTTCCTTTTGAAAATTTCCATGAAGCAAAAGACTAATTTTGGTTCGAAATTTTTAGGAACGTGCACGTTTTCCAAACATTCCTTTTCTGAGTGAAAGGGCAGGGGCAAAGTTTGGGGAGACACTACTACATCAAACCCAAAACACCTATTTTGGGGTCAAATTTTTTCCCCCCCAAACCCCGGGGGAAAATTTTTGGGGCCAATACAAATACCCATTAAAATCCCAGACACCCCTGCTTCTATTAGGCCCGGCGGGACTGATAGTTTTGGGGGAAGCCTTTCCCAATTTCCAATAACCTTTAATTTGGGGGGGCCATTTAGCCTAAAAACCCTAAGGGAAAATCCATTCAGCATTTAAAATTTCCCTGTTTAAAAAAAGGGAAAAAATTTACTTTTTTTGGGGGAATTATTTACTCAAACACTTTTACCCCCAAATTCAGGGAATTTAAGGGTAAAACGGTTTTTTCCCCACGAAAAACCCCGGATGCAGCTATGGGGAAGTGAGGGTTTTCGTGAAGGCCAAATAAACTTTCATTCATGTTTTTTTAATAGAAATTAGCTTAGTAATATTCTCAAAAGCCCCTTATGTTTTTTTTTTGGGTGACAAAGGGGGCACTGGGGGGTGGGGAGCAGTGACTGGGGGACTGGGTGGCAGTGACTGGGTTTTTGGGGGGAGCAGTGACTGGGGACTGGGGGAGCCGTGACTCCCGTTTTCCCCCTAGGCTAGTGAGGAACAGCTGGGCCCCCACCATTTTTCTTTTAGCCTGCAGGAACTCAAAAATTTGTTTAAAAACCCGTCTTTAAAATATGTGTGGAAGCCATATACACAATACTTTTTATAAACCCATTAAAAAATTTTTTTATAAACAAATAACCCCCTTTGAAGAGAGGAGCTTACGACGAAGTTTTTTGTTTTCCCACTTGGGCCATTTACAGTCACCCTGTTATTGGGCAGGGAAGACGGGGTCCTCTGATCCACTTCAAATTTCAAATCGTGTAAACCCACTTAAGTGGTTTTATATTTAATGGAGAGTGTTAATAACATTTTTTCCCCCTTTTATCTCGAAATGGTATATTATTGTTTTTGTTTGCTTTTTTTTGCCCTTTTTTTAGTGAAAAATTTTGGATTTAAGGAAATTGGGCCTTTTTCCCTTTTCCTAGCAAATGGGCCTAACAGGTTTACCCCTTTTTTCCCTTTTTAAAACATAATAAAATTTGGTGTCTTTGTATGAAAAATTGCATTCCCTTTTTAAAAACACCCAAAGCTTTATAAGGGTTTAAAACTTTTGTAGGGACAAGGGGGTCCCAAATTTACATTTTTAGTGCAGACGGGATAATTTAAAAATTGGGTTTTTGTTTAAAATAACTGAAGAATGTCCCTTCTGACTGGAAATAAATCAGATGTTAATGATCACTGTGTTCACTGCCGGTGTGTAACATCCTATCAGTAACAAAAAAAGGCACAATACCGTGACTGGAACGATACACAAATAACCCGCACATAAAAGAGAGAAGCTTACGACGACGTTTCGGTCCGACTTGGACCATTGACAAAGTCACACTAACCAGAAGTGGAGCAGGACGGCTATATATAGGCAGGAAGAGGTAGTGGTGGTGGTAGTAGTAGTAGTAGTACAAGAATGGTATATAATACCGACAAGATGAAATTAAGACACATGCGCAACACCCGGGCATCCCTATCGTAGACGTTTCGCCATCCAGCCAGCCACTGGATGGCGAAACGTCCACAACAAAGACAACCAGACTGTCAATGGTCCAAGTCGGACCGAAACGTCGTCGTAAGCTTCTTTCTTTTATGTGTGGGTTATTTGTGTAACATCCTATCAAATCCAAAAGTGCTTTAATGTTTTAATGGTATTTTCCAGCAGTAAGCAAGGCATGTATTCACTACTAGCAGTGTTAATCACGCTGAAGTAATATGTCGAATTCATTCCAAGCTTCACAAACCCTTGCCTTTATAGTTTACGTTGCTTTTACAGTGTTATCACTTGACTTAATTATGTATTTCTTTTAGCATTAAAGTAGAATCTTGTCCACTTTTAATTATGAATTTAAACTTTTTCCTTCCAGATAAACTGTCAGACATTGTAAAAATCATTGGTCCAAAGAATGATGTTGACCAGTGCTTTAAACTCCTGAATAAAATGTTAAAAGAGCTTCACAAAACGAATTACCAGGTTAAAGTGTCTATCCCCCACAAGTTCCACAAGTTCATCATTGGCAAAGGTGGTGCAAATATCAACAAGGTGAGCATGTCCTGACAATAATATCATTAATGAAAATGTTTATACTTGGTATACATTGTTTGCCAGAATTCAGTGAACTGGAAAAATTGAAAGATATAAAGAGGAGTCAAGGTAATATTTCTGAAAGGATTCATATAAACTGGTTAGCAAATCGAAATCTAGAGGGGAGTGTTTGCATTATGAAGGATGTGGCCGATTTTGGAATTCCCATGATCATTTAAATTGTGATGACTATCGCTTGAATTTCAGCTAGAGCAATGGTTCTTTGCCTTTCTCGTCCTTTGACCCCCAGAGACTCTTCAGGGTATTACCGTGACCCCTGTAATAAATTTTGAAATGGTGAACCTTGTGAAAAGGTAAGATAAAATAAAATGATAGGACGACCATAGTTTATTGAAAATACCACAGAACAAAAACCTTGAAAAAAATCCACATATCCTCTACAAATGCCAGAACACTGCAAATTCCACAGAACTGTTGAACATCATACGAAACCTATTTCTCATTCACTCAGTGGTGGGTCGAAATTGTTTTGCAGCCATGAGTCTGTCAAAGCGAGGAGCAGTGCTTCATTTTTAGAGTTACCATTGCTGAGAATCGAACCTCGCAGTGATAGGTTGACGGGGACTGGATCATCTTGGCCAGTGCGCACACCGAAAGAATAGAACAGTCGTGCTGCACTCTTTGCCCAAAATGTCGGGAGCTCTTTTTCAGAAAAGTTCACTTTCAGCTGAGAATCCTCGCGAATTTGAAGAAATTCTACCTTAGCAGCAACATCAGTATCACTGATGACACTGTCCTTGACTGAAAAGGGTCTGAAGATACACGCATCAGTACAGCGGTCGTCCAATCCTGAAAAGTAACTTTAGATGGCGTCATTCACTGCCAAACGGTGAGTTAAGATCTCCTCACGGAAACTGCATTCAGCATCTGGTATAGAATCCAGGAGAGTCATCATCTGAGTGAAGACAGTTGTCACTATCCTCAACTCTTTTCTGGTAAAGTTGAATCTTATACTTGAACGCTGCCACTTTGTCACGAGCTTTGTGCAGCATTGTAAGGTTTCCTTTGAGTGAAATATTCACCGAATTCACTTCAGAGAAGAAATCTGCTAAGTAGGCAACCTTTGTTACATATAAGTTAGGTAAGGTTCGTCAGGAAACAGGAGTGTGTCCTGACGTACTTGTATGAGCCTAGTATGGGCCAACAGGCCTGCTGCAGTGTTCCTCCTTTCTTATGTTCTTATGATCTTATCATGATGACCAGCCTTTGGAGCTTTGGTCATCTGACCGAGGCCTTCCGCTGGCTTACAGGTCCACCCCTTTAAAAATTATGGTCATTTATAAGCCACATTGGCAGACACCTACTTGCCATACTCCGTAATGGAAGGGGGTGGAGCTGCCAGCCACAGGGAGACCCAGAAGATCCGAAAATATGAAGACCTATCCCCTTGCTATAACTTCATTCCAATAGGGTCGGAGACCCTTGAAGCATGGGGCAAGTGTGCTCTAAAGTTCCTCAAAGAGCTAGGTGAAAAGCTCATCATACAAACCAAGGACCACAGGGCGACCAGCTTCCTCTTTCAGAGACTCAGTGTTGCGATCCAGAGAGGAAATGCCTGCAGCATTCTGGCCACGCGGCCCACTGCAGGGCAGCTGCACGAAGTATTTGAGATGTAGCTCAGAGTTACCTATGTTGTTTTACTTTCTGTTGTATTTTTGTGAATGTTTGGCCAATGTATTTTGGCTTTAAATAAAACATACTTGAAATATACCTCCAATACTCTATACTTCTTTCTTACTACTATAAATTGCTCATAATTTTAAATTACAAGTCAAATCTTACTCCAAATTAATAATATTCATTATTCTTACCTGTCCATTTAATTTTGTTTATCACTACTTGTTTTTTAGTCACTTTTTATTGTGTATGCAATTAGTGTATATTCCAATTACTTTTTTGCAAGTACCAAAACTATCTTTTGCTAGCTAGTACCAACTACCTCATTTTTTTACTTTTACTGTGCAATAAACTGCTCAATTTATTTAATATTACAAATCAGATCTTACTCCTAAACCAATATTATTTCATAGTGACCACCTGTCCATTTAACTTTGTTTACCATTACTTAATTTTAGTCCCTCATATATTTTCTCCTTTATTTTAGCTTTATATAACTACCCTAGTTTATACATTCACAATTGTTAAAATAATCAAGGTGCTATTCTCAGGTGCTAAAGTAGAATAAGTTCACAACTTTGCCATTATATTCCAAAACTACCTTAGCTCATTATTTTACATTTGTTAAATAATTCAGGTGCTATTTTTTTAGCTTAAGACTATTTACTTTGTTTTATACTTAATTCTAACTATAGATTCACTACATATCTTATGATTACAAGCATTGATCCTGATACCAACCTCTTATTTAATGACTTAAATGATTCAAACAGTTACTGTAATTACTACACTGCAGAACAATCAAAGGCACTTCTCAGTGCCAACAACAACATAACTATTTTTAACTACAATATCAGATCTTTAAGCAAGCATTACGATGACCTCATAGCATTACTAAATTCCTTACATGCCAATATGTCCATCATTACACTAACTGAAACCTGGCTAAAGCCTGATAGTACAGATGTCTATGCCATTCCTGGTTACACAGCCATACACAACTGTAGGCCAGACCAACAAGGGGGTGGCACAGCCATATACTACTCAGACCAACTAGAATGTATCACTAATACTTGCACAAGGGATGAACATGGGGAATATATAATAGCCAAATTCAAATCCAAATACCTACAAAAACCTCTCACATTGATAAACATTTACAGAGTTCCACAGTCAAACATTAGCCAATTTAGTCAAAACCTAGGAAGTATGATAACTGATGCACGCATGAACAAAGATCACTTACTACTCTCAGGTGACTTCAATATAAATCTCCTGCAAGACCAGGACCCACACGTTACTGAATTCACAAACACAATGAGTAACTGTATGTTGCTACCAACAGTAACAAAACCTACAAGAGTTACAGAGACTAGTGTTTCCCTACTTGACCACATCTGGACCAACACCATATCCCCTTTAAAATCAGGCATAATTACAGATAATACCACAGACCACTACCCTACTTTTCTCATAACAACTCTTGGTAAATTACCCCAAGACACTACTAAAGTCACCTTCAGACTTCACAATGAGGCAGCCATTAATAACTTCACAACAGCAGTAGCAAACATTGACTGGCACACTGAGCTAGAAATCTATACAGATATAGACGAATGTATTAATAATTTTCTAAAAAAGACCCAATACCTCTATAACAAGCACTGCCCTAAAAAAACTAAACAGATGACAGCTAAGAGACTGAACAGTCCCTGGTTAACACCCAGCATTCTCAAATCCATAAATACAAAACACCAATATGAAAAACAGTACAGAATGGGTCACATAACCAGAGACCAAACAAAACGTTACTCGTCAATCCTAACCAGCCTGATAAGAAGGGCAAAAAAAATTGTATTATGAGAACAGATTATCCAACTTACGAGGTGATATAAAAAAGACCTGGAAAACCCTATCAGAAATTCTAGGAACAAAAAAGATATCACGAAATAGCGAAATAAAATTAGCAAAATCAGATGAACCCAACTCCACCAACAGAAACAGCAAACAGACTCAATGACTTCTTCTCCACTATAGGACAAAAACCTTGCCAATAAAATCCCAAGCTCAGATACCCCACCAAATGACTACCTCACTGGCAACTACCCGAACACACTGTTCCTAGCTCCGACTAACCCATACGAAGTCTCCCTTATTATCAACACGCTAAAAAACAAGGCAGGAGATTTAAATACCTTACCACCCTTTATATACAAAAAAGTGTCACAAGTGCTATCACCAATCATTGCAACACTCTTTAACAAATCCATTGAATCCTCCACCTTCCCCACAGTACTCAAAATAGCAAGGGTCACCCGATCCACAAAGGAGGAGACCAAACAGAGTTGAATAACTATAGGCCAATATCCAACTTACACCCTCTCTCAAAAATCTTCGAAAAATTAATTCATAAACGAATCTACTCCTACCTTATCTCCCAAAACATACTCAACCCCTGCCAATTTGGATTCAGGCCAAATAAAAATACTAATGATGCTATTATACACATGCTAGAACATATATACACTGCAATAGAGAAAAAAGAAGTCCCACTGGGGATCTTCATTGACTTACGTAAAGCTTTTGATACAGTTAACCATGACTTGCTCCACGTAAAATTGTCACACTATGGTATAAGAGGGCACTCCCTCAACTACCTCAAGTCATACCTCAGCAACAGAAGCCAATATGTGTATGCAAATGGGGCAAACTCTTCTGCACAACCAATTACAGTTGGTGTCCCACAGGGAAGTGTCCTTGGCCCTCTTCTCTTTCTCCTATACATAAATGACCTACCAAATGCTTCGCAATTACTCAAACCCACACTATTTGCAGATGACACTACATACGTCTTCTCCCACCCGAGCCCAGTCACGCTAGCCAATACTGTAAATACAGAATTACAGAAAATATCTACCTGGATGAGGACTAACAAACTACACTAAACATTGACAAAACCTACTTCATTCAGTTTGGTAACAGAGCTACAGATGTCCCTCTTAACATAATGATAAACGGATCACCTATCACAAAGCTAACAGAGGGAAAATTCTTAGGAATCCACCTTGAAATAGACTCAAATTTCATACACATATACAACAAATTTCTAAGAAAATTTCCAAGACTGTAGGCATACTATCGAAGATACGGTACTATGCTCCACAGTCAGCCCTCCTGGCCCTATATCACTCTCTTATTTACCCCTATTCACCTATGGAATTTGTGCATGGGGCTCAACAACAAGTAACCATCTCAGACCACTAATTACCCAACAAAAGGCTGCAGTTAGAATGATAACAAATTCTCACTATAGGCAGCAC